AAATTGTGTTACCTTATTTGACCATTCATAGAAGGAAATACAAGCACGAATCTGCCCGGCCACTTGCGCATTCAGTCAAGGCAGCCACTGTGTCCACTGTATTCTCTTCCCTTCTGTTATTATTACATTTCCTCCCCTTAAACGGAAAGACCAATATAACCGTGCTGAAATCTATGGCTCTCCGGGGACAGGGCTTTTGTGTCAGTGCAAGTGCAAAACAAGAGCGGCGCTGGTTTTGAATGGAGCCTCGGTCACAGCTCCAGTTTCGAGGCCTCACGGTCCACAGACACACAGCTCATTAGATGGAATAGAGTGTGTATAAGGAGTCGTATAGGGAGATGTGCTCAGGAGAAACAAGAGGCTGGACACCTGTCTGTCTGTGAAGTGATGAGGACACTGATGAAATGTGATGCAACTGTACCTGTATCAGAGAAAGAGAGAGGCATCACTTGCTGTCATTTATGAGTTTGGTAAAGTTGAAATGTTTAACTTTTCATATTGAGTGGAGTGTGTGCCACCTGTTTGTGTCCATGGGGATGTTAATGCTTTGCCTACAGGCCTGGATATACAGGGGTGCAAAAGGGTGAAGTTCAAGCTCATTCAAACGTGTTTGCATCCTCATTTTTGGTGCGTTAATTAATTACATTTAATTGTATTGTTGTAAAATGTTGTCTTTGCACCCCTTTGAAACACTGATGCACCCTCAATTTGGAATGCACCCAGGCCTGAACTCCCTTATATGTGTAGATGAACTAAGTAGCTTTTCTGGTGGTGGTGGTGGATCTGATCTGATTGTCTCCATGGAGGTGTTATGCTATTGTTTTGCCTAGAATGTTCCACAGTATGGCATTAAACTTGTCTTTATCAATGGAGACAAATAGGTGACACCACTAGGCCAAGTTACAGCATGTTTTTAAGTATTTTTACTGCTTAAACACACACACATCTGTAATTACACTGATGTTACGTTTAATGTCAAGCTATGGAACATTCTAGGCAAAACAAGCACAATCAGAGACAGCAACCTGGTCCCCCATGAGGCATTGGTGGGGGCAGTTCATCACCACAGAAGCATCTTATGAGGAGCCCAGCCCATATTACATGATCGTTATATCCACAATGCAATGTGTCTAGCTGTACAGTGCCCATGAACATTTGTGTGATATTGGTCACACATGAGAATGTCTGTGTTACTAATGTGTAACCAAAATGTAATTTTTCATGAGTTCCATATATGTTAGTTCTGTGACTGAAGATCATTGTGTTGTGTATCACCACAAAAAGAAGAAATTGAAATTATTTTTGTTCCAATTAGAATTTTAAAGGCAGACACTGAAAGAGAAAGGAACTGTTATAATTAGTGATTATCTCGAAAACTATTAATATTTTACAATACAAATGCATAGAATTATAAATAGATAATAATTTCTCTGAGATTTTGAGACTACTCCCTAGCTTGATCCTTCACGGAGTTATGACCAAAAACACATATTTGACCTTGGTTACCTTGACCTTCAAGTGACCTTGACCAGTTTCAACCTGTAACATCCAGTGTACCCTGGTTATGTGTGTGCCAACTCGTGATGATTGGGTGAATATTTTAGCCCACAGATGGTTCGGAAATTGCAGATTCAATTGACCCGTGTGACCTCAAATGACCTTGGATTGTCACCAAACTTTTTTTGCAGCATCGAGCATGGGGGCTTGATCCACGTACCAAATTTGGTGACAATCAGTCCATAAATGGCAGAATTATCGTGGGTGGACAGACACACACACACACAGGGTGAACACAAAACCTGGTCAACCCTTCGGGGACCAGGTAACAATAACATAACATCTCCATGGAGACAATCAAATGACAGACCCCACCACCACCAAAAAAGTTATTTAGGTCATCATCAAATAGAAGGGAATTCGTGATCTACTTTTCTATACATCGTATGCAAATAGCTGGATGGTGTTGCTGGGGTGACCAGTTTTCTTTTCTTCACAGTATTAGTTTTTTATTATCTTCTATTGACATGTAAAATCTTAGAGAAAAAGCTCTAACCACTGACAGAGTGCAGCCCTGTGTAGAGTATCCATTTGGTTGATTTCTAGCTATATACTGTATTTCTTTATTATTACTATATGCCACAGTGCTGTCTAGTTCGTGTCAAGATGATTTGTGTTTTCAGTTATTTTTTAAGTTTGGTAATGGTTGATCATTAAGGAAATGGACTAGCAGAATTTGTATTCCTTTTATATAGTAATCTAACGGCCTCTTTTCTCATGGTTAAGGTTATGTTTTGTTTGGGCTTTTTTTCTTTTTTGATATAATACTGCCTGGTTAATACTAGAATGTTGATTTTTTTAAAGTTCAGAAAGAGGTTATGGTTACGGAAATAAGGTTAGGGTTTGGTCAAGTTTAGAAGCAGGATGCAGGTGTGAAAAAAATTTAGGGAAATGTTTTTTGGTCACTTACTAGCCTTATCTCAGCTTAAACTTTATACGCAGACTTAAAATAAAACATAACATTTTAGGCCTGTTCATGGCAACAGAAACTAACACATTACTGCAGCAAACATGTAGTAACCACCCTGCCTGCCTTAGACGGAGAAGTGACATCGCACTTAACAAGTCTACAGTTTTTTGTCCCACCAGATGCATTGTCATCTTTCAGACACGACTCAACTTAATTTCAACCTTTTTTCCTTTGGGCTGCTACCACCTTCCTTACACTTGATGGTCTATACTCTTAGGGTATAATAACAGTTTATAAATGTATGCTACCTCGTATTTTCTATGATTGGAGACTTGCTTAATAACACACCCGTATGTTATAAGTAGGATGTTGTATGCCTCCTCCACCTGTCCAAACGCAGCCTAAGCACAGTCTCCAGTGATCCAGGGCCTGTAAGAGCATGCTGGGGCTATTTGTGGAGTCACCTGTGTCACTATATGTTTTCAAGGGAGAGATGCTTCACGCCCTGATTTAACATCTCCAGTGGTGTAATCAGATCCAAGGCTAGTTCAACTTGTCTGGTGTTCCCTCATGCATTATGGACAAAGAGATTTAGTAGCACAGTCAATAATGCAGCTATTCAAAAAGGGTTGACAAGAGGATCATTAGAAAACTGGTGCTCTCTATAAACACAGACAAACATTTGTTAAAGAATGCATGAGTTGTCTAATGTGAATCAACAAGAAAATAGACTTCTTTTGAAACAATGTAGGTTACTAGTGACTATCCAAAAAGGCTTTTCACTAGGGCTAGGAATCGGCAGGGTGCGTCACGATTCGATACAATACTTACATGGCTCACAATACGATATTATCATGATACGGCAATACATGAGATAATCGATATTTTGAAACCTGTATATTTATTACTATTTTTAAGAACCAAATACACTTAACAACAGTATGTCTTTGTTGAACCACTACCTGTGCATAGAAATAAACCAATTGTAACCATTAAAATAGTGAAAATGTCAAGTTCAGTTTCCTTTCTCTGACCAAAGCACTGTCACAAAAATTTAGTAAAATATACCAAAATATACACAGTGATATATCGATACAGCATCCCACGATAAATATATCACAAAATTTTGTATCAGAATATTTCGATACTTTAGCACACCTCTACTTTCCACTGATATTGTTTTGTTTTACAAGCAGGTAGTAGTCAACTTTAATATTTTTAACAGTCAAATCAGAATTTCCCCTGTTACTGCAGTGACTTGTATGATGTGCGGTGCCTAATGATTTCTATTCTGAAGATCCTTCTCTGGCCCAAAGCTGCAGTGACATGTTAATAATCAAAGGAATAACTGTAGATAAGAAGTAAAAGCAGACAGTTAGCCAAACCTTTTAAATGTTTTTCTAATTTCTGCATGACTCATTCTTGACACAAGGTTAAACAAATGTCTCCCCATTTTACAACATGGGGAGAGAAGCACTGAAGGTGAATTTTAACAAGCCTGCTTATTATGATAACTCTTATCTCCTCCAAAGGTATGTAAAACATGCTTTAGACAATCAAATAATTTCATTGTGTGAGAGACTATAGCTGGTTCAAATATAGTTAACAGAGACAATATTACCACAAATGGAGTTGAATAGAAAACTAGGTCAGTATAGGGGAGAGATCTCCACCAAGCAATGCGTTGACCATAATGAGCTAGTCTGTTGCATATATAGGCTAGCTTTGGCTGACCACTAATCACATGCTTATGATGTCAAGTCATTATACAAGGGCAGGGCATACAGAGAAGTGAAGTAACATGTGGGCTACCTTTTTCTCTTTCTATTCTGAATTATAAACTGAAGTCATACACTCATATTAAGTGGATACCTTTTATAGGCCCATAGCCATGGGTTGAATTACTTTAACCTCTTGAATTAATCCATGCAGGGAGGGCTATTTTTACCTCAAAGCATTAGTCTGAGCGAGTGAAATGTATTCTAACCATACCCTCCCGTCTCTGGTTGCTGTTGCTGCCCGGTGCTCATGTCTTATTCAGACCTACTTGTGTGCAGGGAAACACTCCTCATATACTGAAAAGGTGGTGTTGATTTATATCATGCTATAAATCAACACCAAGACCATTGTCACAAGTGCTTAAGACTACTCTTGTTAAAGTCTCTGCAGCATTCTTGAGAAAGTTATGCTGCTTTATTTTGTCAGATTTAACTTTGTTAACATGTGATGAGCAAACATTCTGTTTTCCAGTTAAAGTGGTTTTATAAAATAATGCTGAATGCTGAGCTAAAGATGACCTTAGCCATTGCATCAGTTTATTCATATTTTCAGTTGATCTGTGGTATGGATAGTTTTTATGCATGAAACAAGGACAGTTGATGTTCCTGTTGTTTGAGTCAATGCTGCTGTCCATCTGTGGAGCCTTTAGCATGAATGAGTCTAGTCACTCTTCAAAACGGCACCTTTTAGATCTCAGAAGAAGGTTTGGCACTATTATCCACAAGATATCCACAAGAAAAAGAGCACCTTTTAGAGTTTCATAAAATGTATTTTATTGTTTCTGAGGTTCACAAAACAAACCACATTTTCTCTTCTTTAAAAAATAACAAATGTATCTTTTATATTTTACATTTTTATAATTGGTCTTTTGCACAGCAAAGATATGACACTTATGTTTCAGACAACATAGCAGACAAACAATGTGGCCAAAGGAATACTTTCACAACAGTGCAAAATCAACAGATAAACTGGTTGTAACAAAAGCGTCCTAAAAATAAGGATGCCTTTAAGAACTACAACAAAAATGTGCATAATACGGAATGTTTTCAGATCATGGTAACCAAAAGAAAATGTTGAAGCGGGAACAGTTGGTAAACAAGCCAGAGGCTGCACCAAATCCTCTTAAATAAAAGAGATGGATTTAGTGCGTCCTTATGCGCGCTGGGATTTTGTTGGCCTGTCCTACACGCACGTGCATCAACTCTGAACCAAAACTCAATATGTGTCTGCTGCGTATGGCGTGTGGTAGATTCTACTTTACTTCAGAGGCACAAACGAGACAAACACTCAAAACATGGTTAACAAAGGGAGTTATTTCTCGTGGAAACAACTTGGCTCAACAAAGATAACGTGCCAGTGCGCGCGTGTTAAAAATACCCCAGGTTTATTAGGCGACTTCCTGGACCTTAGGTTCTTCATAACCATTTGAGAGGTGAGGGGGCTCTTGGTTGCTTTCTATAGAGGATTCACTGCCTGTACTCTCCCCGGACAGTAGTCGGGTCACCCTGAGGTCCGCCTTCAGAGACTGTACATCGTTCCCTATGCTCATTTCCCCCAAGTCATTGATAATCTGAGTCAACTCTTGTTTGCCATTACAGTCATTGTCCAAAATGTCCTCACATTCAAAGTGCATTGACTTCTCCTCCTCCTCTTCTCCAACCAAATCCTCTGTGATAGAACCCAACTTGGGGGCGCTGCGGCTGCGCTCCACCGGTGGTTTGTAATAACACTGTCCGTTTAGTAGCTTTCTGAGAGGCACCAGTGGGATGGTCTGCTCCCCGATCAGCTGCTGCTGCTGGTGCCGAGCATCATCCCTCCGCTTTAGTCTTTTAAACTCTGCCAGAGCCGTCGCGGAGGTCTGGTACAGCAGCAGTGCCATGGCTTTAGCCTTCTCTGGTTTGGACACAAGCACCGCGTGGCAGCGCAGCATCACTGCCTTGTGCTTCATCTCGTGTCTATAAATCCATGCAAATATTCTTAGGCAGTCTGGGGTCCGCCACGCAGTACGTAATCCGGTGTAGTAAGTACAAGTGTCCTGGTCTGCGAGCCTTATCGTCCACATGTACCATGCGGATGCCCTGCGAGCTTATGGTCAGTCTCATTTTGGTGCCGTTCTTTCCCATCTCACTCTTGGCCCAGATTTTGCTCACGGCCACGTCCGTGCAGCCGTCTCCTTTGGACTGAATGGTAGTGGCGTTTCCCAGGTAAAGCACAGTGTATGTTGGGTCCTCGCTGGTGATCTTCACCTTTTTCCTTTTCGACTTAAACATGCTTCCCACCCTGTTGAACGCGCTCTCAGGGCACGACTTGGCAAAAGAGGTAAGCGCAGAGTAGTTGAGACTCACCGCATAGCCCTTTTGCTTGGACTGCTTGTCTTCCTCTATCAGGTCAAACTTATTCTTCTTCCAAGGCAGCATTTTAGACGTGTTTCCAACTCAACAGAAACGTCAACTGAGAGAGAGAAAATAGGATGTCGTTACTAGATCCAAAGGTGTGAAATGTTTAGTCAAGTCATTAATTCTCCTCTACTCTAAATGACAACTACACACAGAGACATCGTACTTCTGTCTATCCACTCTCCATCGTGAATGTCTCCTCCAGTTTCATGGCTGAGTCTATTGGCTGGTCGTCTGAGGAGCTCCAGTTATACAGTGGAACAAACCATCGGAAGGACTGTAGGGGTGGAGCAGAGGAATCTACCAAATGACCGTGTCCAACATCGTACGGATGGTAGAAAGTATTATTATATTATTATTATTATTATATTATTATTATTATTATTATTATTAATAATAATAATATAATAATAATAATAATAATAATAATAATAATAATATAATAATAATAATAATAATAATAATAATAATAATAATGTTATTATTTGTGTTATATATAATGTTATTATTAATTGCTCAGTTGAAAAATAAGTTCACCAGGAGGCTACAGTAGGGTATTAGGTTTGGTCAAGTTTGTAAGGCAACCTCCGCTGGCCTGATGATGTTTCTGGTATGAGCGTGCAGTTATTGGAACGAATGTCTGTCTGCTTTAAGTGTCTTCTGCTTGTACAACATGAATTACTCCACAAGGGACGTAAAGCGACGTGTGGTTGCGCCTCGCTCTATACCTTAATCTTGCCTGCCATCTAGAGGCCAAAAGAAAAAGTACAGTAATCTAATCGATGAAGTCCTTAATTTGTAACATATAACCAGTGTTTGGTAAGAATATAACACTTTTAAAAGGTAGGTTTGATTGGAGTCTGATTTGTACGTTGATTGAGTTCAGGAACCAATTCAACTGTTGTAGTTTCACTGGGGCATAATTGAGAGCTGGACAATGCGACTGTACCACAGCCACAGCAGACAACACGTCCCTACGTTTTTTTGCAAACAGTTAATCCGAGTGGGATGTTTTCTATGAATTAAACTGTGAAAATGTGTTTTCTGGCGTGAATTGCTTCATACGATGCTGATCTAATATATTTTTCATTCTTAATTTTAGGTAATGGCCCCGAACTAGAACTCCAGTAGTCTCTTCCATTTCCGGTTTTTTCACGTCAACAACAGTACACACATGTGGGTTTGTCCTGCGTATCAATTTCTCTGTTTTACTGGGTCAAGAGGATATTTTAATGGGGAAAAAGAAAGCAGCAGGCGGTGGACTCGGCAGGGCGCTGATAAAAGAGAGGCTTCAGTCTGCCAGGGGAAACAAAAGAGGAGACTCATCATGGGTGAGTCGTTCAACTCTTTAGCTACCCTACACGATTTACAATCCCATCTCTCTAGCAGAGCCATTACCTACAAGTTGCCTCGACATGATTAATTCATTGCCAAGGACGCAGTTAGCAGTACTATTGATGTTATAAACACACTGACGTTGTTTTTCAGCTTCACACGAGTGAACTCAATGACGGCTATGACTGGGGGAGGCTGAACCTGCAGTCGGTGACAGAGCAGAGCTCTATGGATGATTTCTTGGCCACTGCAGAACTTGCAGGAACAGAGTTTGTGGCTGGTAAGAGATGGGCTACCTACATTTCTAAACTTGGATTCGTACGTTTTCCAACTGTGTTTGTTTCATCTTTCTTACAGAGAAACTTAATATCAAGTTTGTACCAGCAGAGGCAAGAGCAGGCTTATTGACTTTAGAGGAGAAAAACAGGCTGAAAAAGTTACAGGAAGAACATAAACATTTCCTCAGAATCCCTCGCAGGTTAACATGATAAAACAATGATGTACTACAATTCAGTGACACAGTAAGTTGTGAGTTATTCTGTTTTATTTCAGACCCCACTGGGATGAAAGTACTAGTCCAGAAGCTCTTCAGACTGCAGAGAAGGACAGTTTTTTGGAATGGAGACGAGAACTTGCCCAGTATGTATTGTATTGTCTACTATTTCAGTAATAACTTTTACAGTATCTTTTTTTTTTTTTTCATTAAAATTGTAATACATTTTAAGTAATTTTAATTTGAAGATTGGAAGAGGAGCAGAAGTTAATCCTCACCCCTTTTGAGAGGAACTTGGAGTTTTGGCGACAGCTGTGGAGGGTTATAGAAAGGAGGTAAGCAAACAGTGTATTCGTCAAGACAAGATATACAACCATTTTGAAACTTTCTCCACAGATTTTCTTGTCTTTGACTGTTTCAACGGTGAACCTAAATGCAATATAACAAGCCTAAGAAATGCCATATAACAGTGTTTGTTAAATTAACTGTATATTTCTCTTCTCTAGTGATGTCATAGTTCAAATAGTGGATGCCAGGAACCCGTTGCTGTTTAGATGTCCTGATCTTGTAAGTAATATATTAATCATTTTAATCCAGCATTGATGTTAGTGGAGCTTTGGTCTGGTATTCCTGAAAATCATACCTAACCTACATTGTTTATGCTCAGGAGTCATATGTAAAGGAGGTCTCAAAAGATAAGGTGAACATGCTTTTGATCAACAAAGCAGATCTGCTGACCAGGAAGCAGAGGAAAGTCTGGGCTCGGTATTTTGAACGAGAAGGATTGAAGGCAGTGTTCTGGTCTGCGCTGGCTGAAAGCAACCGGTTAGATGCTGAGGAAAAGGTAAGTGGGTTATGTCAGTTAATAGTGATAATAACAAATTACTTGAAAAAAAAAAAAATACAGAAAATCGTTGTCATTTCACAGGGAATAGAAACTGAGGATGCAGATCAAGAAGAAAGTGATGAAGAAGAGGAAACGCAAGAAGTCAGAGAAAATGATAAAGAGGCCGAAGTGTCCAGCGCAGAAGGGGAAGAGGAGAACAATGTAACTGTAAATGAAGAGGACTGGCAGACCTGCTCAGAGGATGAGGGGGAGGATGAAGAAGGAGCTTTTATTTCTTTAAATGAATCTTCCCTCCATAATTCGAGCCGACTGCTGCATAAAGATGAGCTTTTGGCTGTGTTCAAGTCTGTTCACAGTGGACAACGTTGTAAAGAAGGACAACTAACTGTGGGACTGGTATGTGGATATAAATAATACTGTACACACTGACATTAAAGCAACTTTCTTTTTTGTGATAATTTGGTTTTGTAACAGGTTGGGTATCCCAATGTAGGAAAGAGCTCTACTATAAATACTATACTAAGAAACAAAAAGGTTTCTGTTTCAGCTACTCCTGGTCACACTAAGCACTTTCAGGTATGAATTATTTAAATCTAAATCTCATATGTGGTATTTTTCTCACATATTATTGCATGCTGTTTCAGACACTGTATGTGGAACCAGGCCTCTGCCTGTGTGACTGCCCTGGTCTAGTCATGCCTTCATTTGTTTCCACCAAAGCAGAGATGATCTGCTCTGGGATTTTGCCCATTGACCAAATGAGGGACCATGTCCCTGCAGTTTCCCAGATATCCTTTGTTGCATTACAAGTTAATCGTAAGGTTATTAATGGTGTAGATAATATTTAAGGGTTTGTCCTGAGCTTGTTAAACGTATGTCAGACAATCCCACGGCATGTATTAGAAGGAACATACGGTATTAACATCATCCAACCTCGAGAAGATGAAGACCCTGACAGACCACCCACCTCTGAGGAACTGCTCACAGCTTATGGGTGTAAGACTTTGAACATACCTTTTACAGGAATCAGAAAGGTTCATATTAATTTGAGCTATATTTATTTCAGACATGAGGGGCTTTATGACTTCACATGGCCAACCTGATCAGCCAAGATCAGCACGCTACATCCTTAAAGATTATGTAAATGTATGTGTATTTCTTTTCTAAAAAACAGGCCGATAATATTTACAGATTGAAATATGACATTAATATCTATTTTTATTTGGCATTTGTGTCCTTTGTACATTTCAATTAATCAGGGTAAACTCTTATACTGCCATCCGCCACCAAGTGTAAATCCTCAGGATTTTCAGCCACAGCACAGCCACTTTCAGAAAAGAGATCCAGACCAAAGCAACCATTCCTCCGCTAAAAACAATAATCCAAAAATTCGAAGGATTGAAAACACAGTGGACAAGAACTTTTTCCACCAGGTAAGTTGCATTCACGTATTATTTCTTTGTATTGAGCCTCATAATATGTTACATTTGCATTATTCAGGAAAATGTACGAGCCTTATCTAAGGGAGTTCAGTCTATTATGGGCTACAAACCAGGAAGTGGTCCTGTTGGACCTGGGCAGATGGAACCAGATGCAATGGCAGGAAAGCCATGGAAGAAACACGGGAACAGAAATAAAAAGGAGAAAGTACGGAGGATCACCAAGCATCTGGATGCTTAAACTAAATACTAAATTTAAATTTAGTAAATTTACAAAGTTCTTAAAAACAAGCTCCTGATGGAAAGATAAGAGCTATCTTGCGTGCATACCATATTATGCACAAATGATGACATGCTAGTACAGTTAATAACAAAAAACAATGCAGAATACAATTTTAAAGTTTTGTGTTTTTTTGTATATTGTCGATTGCCTCTAAACTGATAAGATGTGTTGACATCATGATATTTTGTATCCATTCAATCATCACAACAGTTTGTAGCAGCGAAAGATGAATAAAAATAAAACAAAAAGTAACATCATGGCTCTTATTTTTATATAGACTTAATGCATATTTGTAATTTTCTCATTGTACACGTAACTACATTAAACTTGTGTAACTGTTTCAAAAATGTACAGGCCTACTTTATATACAGATGATCAGCAACCAAATGAGTAATTTATCATTCAAATTCCATCAAAGCTAATCCTATTTTAATATCTGGTGTTCCCATCAGATTGCAATGCTTCGTTTACATAGGCTAGAGACGCTAGAGCAGGTGAGTGAGCTCCTCCCTCCATGCCTTTGCCATCGCGACTTCTTTGCTCTCATCCACCGAATTTTTCCGCACATCTGGCCTTGTAGTGAAGAATGATCCTTTAGAGTTTTTGACATGCATTCATTATCAACTTTTTGGGAAGATTCCATCACCTGTTTCACCGAGGAAATAGGAGGCAAACTCTGTGGCGTTATATCTCTTGGCACCATTTCGGGGTTGCTGCTTCTGCTGGCACACGCTGCGTAAGTGGGCTAAGATTCATCAATTTAATGTTTTCATAAATATTTTGCCTATAAATGTTAGATTTATTCATGAAGGTTAGGCTATGAGAGATGCAGATATCAAGCGGAAAGTGGGAGAGAAGCCACGACGTCCCTTTATTGCCTCCTGGGGAACAGTTGTAGCACAATTGGAGCCATTCTATCCAGGCAGCTCCATGTTCAGGTAAAGTCATCAGAATATTTAGCGATTAACTGCAAACATTGACCACATTTATACACTTTGTTTTGTTTGTAGGTTATTTTGGCGGCTTTTTCTGCTATAATAGATGCGGTGTCTTTTGTCACTCTGTGCATACCAATATGTTTGTGTAGGAACTCAAAAGCAGGTAGGAAAATGCCATCGCTTCCACCTGTTTGACAAAAAATGCATAGCCCTTATGAAAAGCAAAAGAAAGCTATTATTTAAGGAAAAGATAACCACTATCTAGATACCCATACGAAAAAACATTGTTCCAGGACGGAGGATGAGAGCGAGACGAAGAAGACAGCATCTCTTTGGGATCTGTGTTTTGTTTATGATCACTGGAGGATTTTTCAAAGTTGGACTGAGTAATAATGAAATAGACAACACTCTTCGACAGAGGAGACTTTTACAGATCATAATGGAAGTAAGTGCTAAAGCAATAAATTAAAAAAAAAACATCTCATAGGCTACACTATTAGATTTAGTTGAAAAATTATGTAGGCCTAATAAATACAGTTATTGCAATCTTCTCACGTAGAACATTAACACTTCTACACTTCCACAAGCTAATGTCTGATTCACCAGTGAAAGTTTGTGATAAAGGTCCTATATATTATGCAAAATTGACCCTTGTGAGCTTTTAGCCATGCTAGAACATCACAAACATAGCTGGAGTTGTGTCAGCCCAAATATGCAGACGTTTTCCAGATATTTTTTTTGATGAGGAAACGGCATTATAACATAGATCAGAAAATAGCTTAATATGGACCCTTAATGTTACTATAATAAGTAATCATTATTGTTTTGAATAGATGAAATCTCTGGGCTTTGATCAATGACCTAAAGAAAAAGTCAGATAAACCATTGCTAGCTTTGAGTGCATTGTTGATTATTAACTCATATTATTGCATAGATGCCATCATGATTTTTATGGACTGACCCTTTACCATCTGTTTAAATAGGACAACTCTGATATAGTTGGATATGTCCTTGGAATCCTATCTTTGGTAATAGCATACACATCTAGATTTCCTGCACTCTACAGAACAGTAAGATAAAGACAACCTTTATTTTTATTCAAGTAATTGGATCAAGCATTTAATACATGTTTGCGCCTCACTGGACTTTCTCTTTCTTTACTAGTGCACAAAGCGACTGATGACAAGAGCTCAGCTGCTATCAGCTGTGCTGTGCTGCCTGGCTGGTACATGCTATGCCACTGCCTTACTCCTTTATGACACCAGCAATGCATTTATCTGCAGGACATTACCATGGTTGCTGTCAGGTGTTTTGTGTGCCATCATGGACCTTCTTGTATCCTTTCTGATAATTTAACTTAGAACATCTTGGTGCAGCATTTTCACAGTGGCCACTAGATGTTGCTATACAATCATAAAAATTGATATGAGGTTAAACCATGTTTAACCAATCCTATTAAAGCAAGAGAATGCCTGTGAAATCTTTTCTGAATGTCTAATATGTTTGAAAACAGGAGCTGCAATAAATAAATAGCACAATGAAACACTAGTTAGTGTGGAAAATTAGTCATAGTACTTACTTTATGACCTTCTACAGCTCAAATTTAATACTACACATAATAATACTACAAAAAATGCAATTAATCTACTATATTACCCAAACAGATTCTTGTGAGCTTTAAGCCATGATACCATTTTGTATTTCATCAAAAACATACTTGTGTGAATTGTGTTTTGTTCCATTCACATGTTTCTGTAACCCTTTATTACTATGCACATCTCCAGAGCTCAAAATGCTTTGTTCCACCCTGTGATGTCATGAAACATTAACAGATACCTTTTGCCTTTTGTTCAGTAGAGATGGGAAATTCCAGGGCTGCAATTATTCAAATGATTCTAGTGAAGGTGTGTGGAGTTTAAAAACAACCCAATGCAAATAGTGAATGAAGTCGATACAGTAATTAATGTGGCAGGCCTACTTTTCACCAAGGCCATTTATAGCTCACTAGGGATCTTCAGTTTCCCAATATTGAGATTGTAGTACTCCCAAACTCAGGCCCCTAGTTGCAGGAAAAGGAAAATGTTGATAATGTTCTCATAAAAATAACGGTCAGTCCTAGAACAAATTGTGAGAGTGAGATAAAACTATGCAAATGAGTAGCTTTGGCCACTTAAACCAGGTTGAACTTTAACCTACTTTTCCAGATGATATTTATTCATTTGTGCAAAAAACAAAATCCTGTGGTGTTCTCTCCAGACACAGTTAGTCTTCTGGGAAAGTCAACCATTGCTGTTAAAGAGAAGCCCAATGAAGAGAGAATTCACTCAATTCCACAGATTAAAGTAATATGATTTCTGCTCCACTCCCTTTTACAGAGTTTGATACATTGTTGACCTTTTTAACTTCATATTTTCAAAGAAAAATGCTGAGAAGTTGACTGGAACAGACTGTTACTTGCATGTGAACTGTCCATCTGATAGGAAAGTAAGCATCAGCCACTGTTATGTAATAGTTTGATAATGCAAATATTCCACTTGTTGCTTAGTGATGCTTTTTGTCAACAGAGCCCTATTCAGTTACACTTGTCCAGAACAGTGAAAAAGGAGGGAATCCAAAACAAAGATGAAAAGTGTTTCTGTTCATCTGACACATCATTTGACTCCTCTGTTATCAGCTCAGACCTAGAGGTGGGCATGTCCTATATTGTAGTTTTTAGTTTTTATATATATCTTAAAATGACACAGTAGTCTTATTTGCATTAGTCTTATTTACTGTTTTACTGAAAAATCCAAGATGGTGTATGCATGTTTCATTCACTCAAAGACATTTCTCTAGACTGATTCACACGTGCGTTCACACATTCATTACACAAAAATTGAGACTAGCCTGGAACTAAATCCAATGATTTCCCTTGTGGATCAGTAACCTTTGTCTAACTAACCAGGACTAACCAGGAACAACCCAAACTGTAACACTGTGCAAACAAACTGTAACAAACCAAAGACTGTAACACAACCAAAAGTGTACATCAGGGTTAACCCAAGTGTGAACACATCCTAAGGTACATTTAAAATTCAAATGTTTAATGTAATAAAAAGATAAGTAGCAAAGCATTGTATCCAAAAATGGTAGAATATTTCCATGTTCTTCTGCAGAAATGTATAGTCCTCATTATGTAAGCCTGGGATAGAGACAGCGCTTGCTCTCATGGTTTTATTTGATTCCACTGGTTGTGGTAATTGTTCACGTTCCACTAGGGGGTGTAAGTAAGTATGTAAGTAAGTAAGTACATGTTTTTTCTGGGGGGAAAAAATGTTAAAAGAGAATTATTCTTCATTTTATAACTGATATTACATTTTATAACATTTAACACTTGATCTAATTATTTCATATCTTTTATATTATGTAAGACATTTTATGCCCACAAAGTCTAATTCAATCAACAGTGATTTACTAACAAACTTAAATACAGGGCAGATGTGTAATGTTAAAGACCTGCTATAAGAACAGAAAGAGAAGCTGCCATTAGGAAGAAGTGCATGCTGTTTTGAATAGGTCTTTGTGCTAAGACTCTGTGCTTATCACATGTTTCTAAAGGAAGTAAATAAGACGACCTTTCGTCTATAGACCAGTCAGCATGTTAGTGACAATTTTAGGGAAAATAAGCAAACAATGAAAGGTTCTAATTAAGATTTGTTTTCTCAGTTTGTCAGTCTCAATTTTCAAATTAATTTTGTCTCATTGGGAAAAAAAAGCTTCCAGTAATGATATATAGCCATAAACAAGAACGATTTCATCGTAATCATCACCATTTAATGTTAACCAAAACTAACAGTCTAATGTTTAACCAGAAGCAGAAATTTAACTTAATGGGGAGTTAAAGTGGCACTTTCTTCTTACTTTGTCTATAGTTAAAATTGTGATGGAGGACTGGAGGAGAACAAAATGTAAAAGCTGAACTAACACTGACTTGTAATTGTCCTCAGAGGTAAAGTTGGAGAGTGCCCAGACGCAGAACAGGGAAGGAATTGTTTGAGATTTGCCATGCGCCCCAATTGTTCTGTTGTAAAAGATTTTTGATTAAAGACTTGCAGAGGGTTGGGTCTGTCTGCTTAGGAAGTTTGTAAAATGGAGGCCCTGTCTATAGAAAACTGTAGCTACCCCTGCTATTTTAGGACATGTTTATTCTCTCCTGTGCTTTGCCTGTTGGCCAGAGGCTTAGGAGTTTGCCACTAAATGTATCTCAGCACTTTCAAACTCATCTAATGATTTGAGTCAACATGAATCATCAGAACAGTGTTATTATACTAAAGTCTCACATTTTCATTATCATATCATTTTGTATGTGGAAAGAAAATAAATAATATAGACCAGGCAGGGCTGTATTTCCCTTTGCCTAGAGGTTTTTGCTGTTGATTATGTCATTTTTAACGTAAATACAGGATTGATTATTAACTCAACCAAATAATTTTACCAAGTAACTTTGGTCAAATTATTAGATTGATATAGGGAGGTAATTTTGAAAACATCAAGCTATTTTTGACTGTTTTGTAATTTGTATTCTCTGTATTTTCCAGTGGGATTTTGAAGAGGCAAATATCCAATGGTGTAAACCAGCAGCAGTAAAACTCAAGGTTGACGAGTGGCAAAGCATCTCTTTAACAAACTAACATTAGGCAGACAACAAATCACTAAGTAAATAAAAAGAGTTGATAAAAATGTACATCTGGGATCGTTGAGTCGTTTAATTGTATAAAAATTCCTCAGGTAATAAAAGAATATTGTATTGCTATCTTTTTGGGTTCCTGGGTCACATCCTGCATTTTCATACTTCTCAGGTTATCAGGGCTGGACTGGGAAAAGAGCTGGAGCTGATAAGACGACTATTGCTATCTTTTAGACCTTAGGCCTGGGCACCAAAATGCCATAGCCACACACACCGGTACATAACCTTGGGGACTTCCAAGAGCCTGATAATTGAACAATAAACAGACTATAGCCAGAGGATAAAGCGCACACCACACCTTAGTTCCTTCTTATTACCAATACAGGCCACATAATATAAGAACCAGCAAAGTAGTATCAGCAAAGAAAAATACACTTACACAATACTGTCTAGAGTGAGAAGAAGAGTGACAGCGTGGCAGTCAAAGCACAGACTGGATATCTGCCACCCTGACCTAATGTTTAATTTTATTTAGAACTTATTTATAAGATGTCCACTCAATCATATACTGAGCCAGTTCCAAGCTCAGTCAAACATTTTAACACACATCATAGACCTTTGACAAATCTTTCCTTTACTTCTAATTTAGAGAAAAAGTATATACTTTCCCTTTTTAATGCTGTAGGTTATAAAGAATAAATGCTGACCGGGCATGGCTTTAGTGTCTGGGGGCCTCTCTCATCTGTGTCCCTTCTGAGACCAGACAAAGAAAGCCCACTTGTGTTGTCTGGTGCTGGTGGTGTTTGCAGAGGAGAAGAACAGCGAGATTAGGACATGTGAAGCTGCAGGATGGACTGAAGCTTTGTTTTTCTTTGGATATGCGTCAGTGATCGCTTCACTGCAGCGGATACACAGAATAACTTCAGTCTGCAGGACATTTGATTCACCTCAGCGAGAACATATGACAGATACGCACACAAAATTTATTAAGTAATTACTGCATTGTATTGGTGGTTTTCAGACTCTAGACTAAAATGTGAGGATATCATACTCAAATGGGTGGCAAGAGCCAGTTCCCATTGATTGTATGGTATCTTCATAAGAATCTTTTAAAAGGTAAATTCACAAATGTTGAAAACTGGTAATATTAGTGTCAATACCCAAGATCTCACTATATGACAGTATACATTTTAACAGCATCAATTTAGTTCTACTGTATTGGCCTATTAAATGTTATGATGTCATCTGAAACTCAGAAAGACAGCAGGCTGTAGCCAGTGAGCCAAGTTGATATGGATTTTGCCCTCTGATCTGGGGCAGGATCTGTCCATGTGTTAGGTATAATAGATCCATGATGGTTGGCTTCTTGTGGTATTTGAGCAAAGTGATGATGAATGAACATTATGTTAATACCAGAGATCTATAACACTTCCATGGTGAATACACCTTGCATGGTCCTCCTATGATGTCACTTCCTGCCGTCACACAACAGCCAGTTCAGGCCAGTTCACTATTGTAGTACAGAGGCTGTCCCACTGAGCTGTCAATACGCAGAGCCCGAAAGCTCCCATCCGCTGCTTCTCTGCTGCGACAAAATTTTCCCATTAAACTTAGTCCGTTTTCTGCTTCAACGACGTCTTCTTCCAGATAACAGTGGCTTTAGTGTCATAATGACTCGGAGGTGATCTTCAGCGTGTCCAGGTGGTTCTGGTAAGTGTAGATCTTTATATTATGGTAAGCGGGATATGTCATGTTGTACATTACCTTGGTGCTGTCATCATCACCCATGTGCTACATAGCGAGGCTAGCGCTAAGGCGGTAACGTGGACACCCGTTTTCTGTTTCCATGTGCTCCTGCCGAAACGCGGGCTTCTTCAATAAATGTGTTATTTCGATGAAGCTGTTCAAAAAAATAAAACTAAAAAATGAAATGATGTAAGAAACGTGGAAGATGAAGTAGAATCTGAGTAGCGAGCTAACAATGACACGGGGCTAAGGCTAAGCAGTTAGCTCACGTCTAAAAATTTCCTTATAAAGCATTTCCCATATGCTTATATTAGTAGCCGTGAGTCACTGTCATAACGTGACTATTAGTCTGTCACACATACCCTTATAATAAAATATAATTACGTACTAAATTACTTTGCAGCCCATTAATGTACGTGCTTCTGCCTAAGCTGCAAAACCAAATTCAATTGTATGATTTATTTTGTTTATTTACTATAACAGTATCACCTCTCAATCGTTTGAGTTCTTATCTAAGCCCTCCTTCAAACTATTATCGTTTTATTATCTTGATATAGTTGAACTATTCTTGGTCACTAACAGACCTTCATAGTGAACATGAATTTGCCTGTTTTTGCGTCTACAAAACGTTGACTTTCCACGTCTGTAAGTAGCACAGTCAATATTGAGTAATGTGAAGTTTCTTAACCATAAGAGAGGAGGGGTTTGCTTTAGTGAGGCAATTGTGACAGAGTTACTTATGGGAAGTATATAGGCCTGCTGCACCGTTTACCTGCTCCGTGTTGCTACATAATAGGATCTTATTTCATACCTTTTTTCTGCTACACAATGCCATAAGTTGCCACAAATGGTTATATAACGCATTCCAGTGTTACTTGTATAGACTGGCATGCTCACTTAATTTATACACTTGTGAGTTTGGAAATTACTTGGCCCTAGGGGTGTGAGATATGCTCAAAACAGAGGAATCATCTCAGAATTTTTAGATGTGATATCATGATTTAGAGCTGATCATAATTCATCCAATTAGGGTCTTTTTTAATCCACCATTATGAACTTAAAACATTTAACTAAAGCCATCTACCACTGCTGAGAGTCCACATTTATTTCACTGTGATTGATTACATTTACCTGTCAGTCATTCAAGGCTGACCCATAAAGGATGGAGTGAAGAGCTACAGAACCAGACAAAAATATAAAAACACTGAGTCACATTGTCCCGATTTAAACAAAATAGAATATTACCCCAGGATAGGATCACTAGGGATGCAAAAATTGGCAAATCGCACAGGCTGCTGTTTTTGAAGTACCACAATTTCCTCCACAAGCAACAAAATTTCGGTCTTCTATAGCATAAAATTGGTAACCCTGTAATTAAAGTACATGTGATTCTTGCTGGTTTGTAATTTCTCTTCAATTCTCCTGGATGTGATTAAAATGTGTACTTTGATCAGAATCTGATCATTAAAACATAAAATGTGAAATATAGTCGCAATCAAAAGAAAAATCACAATTAAAATCATTCACCTTTTTTTTAGTTAATGTTTTTATCACCATATCATCTGGCTCTTCTTGGCCTAGTTTAAGAAGTTGCTGCCTGGTATTCCACGGGCGTTTGAGACCATCCCACATGGCTTTCACAGTGAGGAAAAGCCTACAGCATGTAATATGAGTTCTGCCGCTGTTGATTCAGAGTCCACATGTGAAATATCCTGACATGGTTATAGTCCTTTCCACATATCTCCAATGTTTGTCCTGGGCGCCTCAAAGCGGAGAGGTGAGCTTTGTTGTGCTGCTCTAGAGGTTTACCTTGAACAAGAGAAGGACAAGTCCATGACCCACATGAAAGAAGGTTACACTAAAGCATTTGATGCAAAATAAAGTAGAGACAACTGTGAAACTTGACACTGTAATGTAAAGCTTGGAACACTTTTATACAAGCTGACAGGTATGTTTCCCATCCAACATAGAGTATGCATTATCACAATAACAAGCAGCAATTTGGACAGTTTGTTAGTCAAAATTCTGTTGTTTTTGGAGAAGATGATGTTATATGACTAATGTCATAACAGCATCACGGCCAGCACTATATGTACCACGAGATGCAGTTTGTGTAAAATGTGTTTTAACAATGAGATATAGTGGCCTAATTAGGGCTGTGCAAAAATATCAAAATATCGATATATTAACGATTATCGTTTAATGTGATGATACAGTATCGATATCATGGGCTGCTGTATCGCTATATCACAAAGAGTATTTTTTGGTGTATTTTACAAAATTATTTTGTTACAGTGCTACAGTTTTGTTGCTTGTTCAGGGGAAGGAAACTCTTGTGACACATTTGACATTTTCACTGTTTTGAGGATTAAAATGTTTGTGTTTTATATGAACATTGCACAAGAAGTAGCTTGAGAAAGACTTTTAGTATCACAGCCATGATTTAGCCTTTATTTTTATTGAACCGTATCAAATCGATTTCAAATATATCATATCGAATCGAAAGCTCACTGTATCGAGATATGTATTGTATCGTGGCCTGTGTATTGAGGTATGTATCGTATCGGCAACTTCTTAATGATACCCAGCCCTAGGCCTAATTGGAACCAACCAAGGAATCATATTTTTAAACATATATTTTTATTTAGATAAAATAATCCTTATATTTTTTATTGTTATCTCTTAAATTTCTCACAACAACAGTATAATGAAGTGGATGAAGGGCACTGGTGTTTTAAGCTCCTGTACAGTGTTATTTTCTCATAGAGTCGACACTGTTAATCCACAGGCACATGCTTTGACTTAAACCCCTCTCACTTTTGGTCTGTTGGATTGTTTTTCCTGAGTTTCTGCTCTCTTTCTCCTTAGCAGTATTTTCTCAGGCCTGAATTGAACTGTCTGTTAGACATTGATACTAATGTCAAACATTAACTGTAATACCCTGTGAAATTTAGGCCATCACCTTGGGCTGAACTAATTTCCGTCTTATTTGTTAGTTCAATTTAAAATTAGAAGCAATTTGGAAAAAATTTATGCAATAAAGCTTTTTGTTTCACTTACATTCTTGTGTGTGGCTCAAAAACTGGTAATTTTCTGTAATCCTGTAAAATTCTTGGAACGAGTCAGTGATCCAAATTCAAGGACAAATAATTCTTACTTGACCCTTTACATACCTTTTTAGATGTAATCATAATCTAAAATTAATGAATGTATATTGCTTGTTGATAAAGCTCTATGACTATATGTATATGACTGCCATGACTGCGTAGGGCGGGCCATAACCAGATGTGAGGCTACCTGTGTGCACAGCTGATGTTGGGCAGGTGGTTCAGAGCTAATGTGATAATGAGCCTGTGCATGAGGAAGGACTTGGTCGCAGAATGAGGGGAAGTGATAGCGAGAGCACATTGAGCACATGCAGCTTGATGGCAACAAAACACTTTTTCCTCACAATGTTTCCATGAATTATCAACTTGTGTCATTAGGTCATGGCCCATTGTTAATTGTCTGGATTTACTCTCCCTGATTTATTTACCAGTGAGTTGGGTGGGTGACAGCGATTAGAGTAACTATATTGATATTTTTTTTAGAGTATCCCATCAGTATTCAGACAATATTATGTTCTCCAACAAAATGTGCCAGAACGCATGTTTAAAGGGCCCGTATTATGCTATTTATCTGATCAGTGTTATATGTTCTCATCAAAAACATATCCAGAGTTGTGTTTTGTTTCATTTACATGTTTAACACACAAAACCTGTAAATTTAAGCTGAGTTCTTCACTTAAACTGAAAACATTCTGCTTCACCTCTACCTTCCCATGTCATGTGGTAATACAGGAAGTGAAGTACTCCACTGTGTTTTTAAACTCCTTACATATTCAATAGAAAATTGTAGCTGTTGACTTGAAAACTACCGCTTCAAATCTCTAAAGCCCAAAGTGGCATTTTGGGCTTTAGAGATTTAGACAGACTAAAAATAAAGGCTTACTCACACATGTATGAATGAAACAAAATGGAACTCCAGGTATGTTTTTGATAAGATAACAACATTCTTACATGGCCTAAATTTCACAAGACTGATTTGCGTAATATAGGACCTTTAAATGTATTCATGGAGGTTTAAGTAAAAGACAAACTGCATTTTACCACACAAGTATCATCCTTATATGAAAGACTGGCATAAATCTGGGCTCTTTTTTTTCAGCATTTTCAGATGTTTTTTTATTATAAACATTGATATTCTATATTCATTTGCATTGATTTCAATAAATCAATTTGCTGCGCACCTCACCTCTAATGGTGCAAAACAACAAAATATCATTCCCAAGATTATCATATATTTATTCATAAGAAATGTATAATAACTGTATATAACTAGGGTAGAGGAATGGGAGAGACTATTCAACACGCACAATGCTGAGGCGTATGATTGGAGCCTCTCTACCACTGGACCATAGTTTTATTGCTTACTACTTTGGTAGTAAAGTAACATATTTAAAACACCCACACATTTCTGCCAGTGTTTTCTTCTTTTTTTAATTTGGCAATGTTTTCTTATTAATACAATAGCAGACTAATCAAATTTTAGACAATGCGGCTTTAGGCTGGCTCAGACTATAAATATAACTGCAGTCATGCTGACTTCAGGAGGCCTCATATGGGGCTTCCTTAGTTGCAACATTTATGATTTCATCTGTCAATTCATAACCTTATGATTGCATTTAAAATGCTTATCAATATTGTCTTTACTGAATTTCTTGCTTGTTTCTATTGGCGAATGCAGATAAAATAGATGCTTTTTTTTTTTAACAATTTGTACAGATCCTCGTGTGATGACAATTTTACATCAACAAAGTTTAATACATTTGAAACATTCTTGAACTTTTTATTCTGTTCTTCTCAGGGTTCCAGGTTGGTGTGGTGAGAAAGCTAGCTAACTGCGGGGAGGACCGCCTGGGGCACTGTGCACCTGGCATTCAAGGTACTGCAATATTAACAAACCATCAAACTTTAGTTTCAATGCAGTTCCCATTTATTTAGAAATAAGAAAGTATAAGTAATTCGATGCTCATTGTAAAAGGTAACTTTGATGTAGATTACTTATGTTATATTATTTATAGTGCTGTCATGCGATTAAAAAATTGAGAGATTAATTAATTATTATCTGTAATTAATTAATCTAATTAATCTCTTTTTAACCTCACCTAAAAATTGCTGAGAAAAGCCTTCAATTTGAGGTATTTTCATTTAAATTCTTTATTACATTATTGTGGCAGATCAAAAGACTGATATAGAACAAAAAAAGTGACTTTATAAAGTAATTTATTGTTTAACAAACTTTAACAAATGCAGTCACTTACATTCCACAGTATCATCATTATTATTACTATTACTAATCTGCAGTGTTGGGAAGGTTACTTTTAAAATGTATTCCCCTACAGATTACAGATTACATATCCCAAAATGTAGTTTGTAACGTAATCCATTTAATTAATTAAAGTAAGTAACGTAATTTGAATACTTTGAATTACTTGATATTGTCATGCTTTTTAAAACTACATGAATGTAGCAACTGCATCCTGCAAATGTTGTTCTTGTTTGTTCTCTTCAAATTGGCTGTTGAGCCCAAGTCATATTAAAAATATTATTGATAGAGAAATGCTTTATATATGAGATCACTGGTTTTAGTCCTGGTTTAGACCTGCTTTAGTCCTACTTTAGTCCTAGTTTAGTCCTGAAATGGGTTTTAGTCCTGTGTTAGTCCTGGTTTAGTCCTGGTTTAGACAGACCTGGTTTTAGTTCTGATTTAGTCCTGGTTTAAGTTCTGGTTTAGACCTGGTTTTAGTCCTGGTTTAGTCCTGGTTTAGTCCTGGTTTAGTCCTGGTTTAGACCTGGTTTAGACCTGGTTTAGTCCTGGACTGGGTTAGTCCCGGTTTTAGTCTTGGTGTTAGTTCTGGTTTAGAGGCGCACAGGAGGAAGCGCGGTTTACGCAGCGTACGCGAGAAAACGTACGCGGCGCACGGGAGGACAGCGGTGTCCGCTCAGTAACTACGGAAGGAAACGTGGTCCGCGCGTTCTCAGGTTAATAACGAAGATGAAGGTGTGTGTTTGTGTTTGTGTGTGTGTGCTGTCCTCACGACACGTGACTGGGTGAAGCTAGACAGCCAGCGAACCAATAAAGAAAGCTCCGTACACAAGGCGTACTTTTCTTGTTTTATGGAGGTCTCTTGCATGTGGTGATACATTAATATAGTAACTGAAACATACAGAAAAGGAAATGCACATTACCAACTACACAGTACATGTACAAATAGAAGTAGCTAGCTTATACACGTGTATTACTGCAGTAGTTAGCAACAAGTTCCGATATTTATATGAAAAGAAAGAAAATACATACACAGCCTCAAACAAGTGCTTGTGAACTCTCAAATACTTACAAAGACGAAAATTTGCCAAGGTTTAAACATTAAGAACAGAATCAGCGTATACAAGTGTTATTCGGACTTCTGCCGTGAAACTGCTTCATTTGTGCGGAGAAAAACGTCAAAGATCATGTGTAACATCAGAGCGCTCACTCTGTACGAAAAACAAAACGATCCTTAATGATGAAGATGTCCCACTCTGACAACCTTACCCAAATATTTTTAACAGTTTGGCAACATGAAATAAACGTATTTAATTACCAATGAATTCACTTATTTACTTTTAAGTGACTTATTAAACTTATGAAATATGAACCTTATGAAATGATGTCTTTTATCCCAAAGACATGACAGTGTGTTTGTGTGCGTGTCCCCTCATGTGGCAGGTCACTATAGGACAGTAGTGCAGACATCATGAGCCTATGCAGGTTGTTTTCACCAGTGACATTTAAGTTGTAGGCGATTTTATATTTGTTATTTTCTTTTATATTTCACATTGGGAGAATAATTTCCAAGACACGAATGCGTTTTTACCTGTGCACTGCTGACTCTGTTCTACTGGCTCTTCGACCTCGTCCATTGTGCGACTAACGCCGCCAGTGTTAACATGACATTTACATCGCTCTTACTGCGTGTGTTTTGTGTGGGTTTCCGGCAATGAGTGGAATTACCGAAATAAAATAAAAATTATAAATGTGTTTTTTGTGTGTGTGTGTGTGTGTGTGTTGTTGTCCCAACAACACATAAAAACAGATTTTATAATAAAGCAACTCGCATACAAAAACAGTAAAGTTAGAGATTAAAAATGAGAGTAACGCGATTAAAAAACATAACGCGCTAAATATGACTGTAATTAATTCATCGCAATTAACGCGATAATTTGACACCCCTAATTATTTATATAGTTACCTTATTTGCTCTAGAGTGATTCTTTAAGATAAAATGATAATCTATTCTATGGGGCTGTTTGCACCTTATAATTTACTCTTTACTGTTCTGACATCTCCTAAAACAGACCACATACATCAGTCTGTATCATCTTGTATTTAGAGATCCCATGTATGTAAAAGTTTGCTTCATGTTATCTGAATTCACACAGGAAAAGCAAAAGTCTTATGAAAGACTGTAGTCATCATACTCCATGTTGGTATTTCCAGTCATTGCAGAGCCTTTAGTGGGGGTTTTCTGGTGCACTGCACTCAGCAGCTAGCGCCAGTCAGGGGCTGCCTCTGTAAAATAGAAGGAAAGGGCTTGGTCCACAGTGTGCCAGAGAGAAAGTGCAGCCTAGTGCAGTAGATAAGATCAAAGTGTAGCAAGAGCATTTTTTGTCACATTGCCTGTAATGCGGTGGCCCTAGTCTGCATTGTGTTCTGGGGCTATGACCAGCTCTAGTCAGTTCTGTTTTTTAAATCAATGTTGGACTCACAGTAGAAAAGGTGTTTACAACATTGGCAAGTACTGAGACAGTGAGATACTTTGAGTGGGTGTTCACCTGCCGTGTATTTCATCGCGGACATGCAGCAGCATGCTTAAGTCAACAGACGCACAGGGATGTGAAAAGTGAAAAGACACGCCTTTCACCTCTACATAAAATCTCTGGGCTCAACATCTGTTGTTTTTACTGATACCTGATTATGTTTTAGTTTCGATGTCTTGTAGCCATAAAGGCTACAGTCTTTGTTTATTAAATGTGCTGTAGAAATAAAGTGGATTGGATTGTGTGGACCTTTTTATGGCATTACAAATCTTACATTACTGTGAAGAGTAGAGTCAGTGTGACATGCTATCTAAGAAATCTCACTGTACAAGTGCAAGTGACACCATAGGCTTTCCTTGGCAGCTGTCTCATTCTGAGGAACAACTGGGGGTAAGAGGAGGGCAGGTTTGATATTGAGTAACACAGATCTGATGACTGTGTGTGAGACTTTAACGCTAAACATGATTCTGATTCAGGTCAAGCAGCTGTTTCTAAACCTTAATCTAAAAATATACATATTATTTTAAGCATTTAATTTAGAAGTACAATTCATGTTCATTTTCCTACTGTACGCGTATTTTTAATAATTTGTAGTCACAATCAAACTGTGTCCGTTGTGTTGCAGTCACTCAGGAGGGGGCTTGGAATACGGCAGCATGGAGAAGGAAGACTTTAAGGTACTCAATAAAGGAGAAGAGGAGGAGATGGTGCGTATCCTGTCTTTATGTCTATGCAGATGTCTATTGGACTTTGTTTCAAAATGTACTTTTCTGTCTTTCTAGGAGCTGCATGGCTATCGCTTGTGTCGATGGCGACTGGCTCTTGTAGGCCTTGGAGTGCTTTGTACAGGGGGCTTCCTCCTCCTGTTGCTGTATTGGATGCCAGAGTGGTGCGTCAAATCCACCTGCACCCGGACCACAGCGCGGGATGCAGAAGTGGTGCTGTTACAATCCACAGTACGTACGTATGGTGTGGGCTAAAGGCAGGGCTTGAATCAGAGTTTAAACATTGACAGTGTAAAATGGATACTCCTACCACACTTCATAGATGATTGTCTGAGGTTTACTGGGGAGTCTAATTATTTATGGTCTAAATTTACAAACTTGCTGTATAGCTCTTGGTCATTGATCATTACCACCTGTGAAATGTGTTGATAAACTGTCCCGATGTTGTTATTTCAGTACAACAACACTATTGTCTTGGCACAAATGCATTTTTTGGTTCTTAGACAGTGGCTTGTGCAGGAATGTTCAAATCCTTTTCTCAGTTCTTCCTCGCCTCTGTGGGTGGGTGCACAAGTTTGTGTGTGTGTGTTTGCATTCTTTTCTCCATTGTTTATTGTTCTAGCTTGTAAAATTCATGTATGGAGTAAAAATGACTAGGATTTTCATGCTAATGTATGCCCCAAGCATACCAATGACAATTAGAAATGACAGATTTTTTATAACCATGTATGTTTTGGATTTTTAAAATGTATTAGGATGAATTCCGACGCTGGTTCTTGGCCAAGGTACGAGTGATGCTTGCCCCGGGGAGCAACCCCTTCCACAGCCTGGAGACCCAGACCACCTCCCCCTCCTCTCCCTCTGCCCCCTCCTCTCCCTCCTCTCCCTCCTGTCCCTTCTCATCCCCCATGTCTCCCCCTTTGGCCAACGGACACACACCTCATCCCTCCGATGGCAGCCCTGCTCAGGAGCTTGTCAAAAGATATGCTGACTACCAACCTTCACAAGTAATCAAACTCTTCTGCAAATAATACTGTCATAATAATATAGTTGTAAAAACTATACTTTCTTTTCCACAGATCCGTTATTTTACCTTGCATAGCACAAAGTATTATTGGAACGATGCAAAGCAGAACTTTGAGGTTTTAAAGTGAGTCTTTCCAAAACAGTTATCAAGCCACAATGCATTTGACTGCAGCTGCTGTAAATGTAGATTTATCATTTAATGTTATGCAATGCATATTATTGTTACAGTGGCCTGGAGGATCTGCAGCTCAACTGCTCTAGGCTCCATTCTGAACATAGCGGAGGCTTGTGCCAGAACCAGCAGGAGTACAGGTGAGCTTTGTAGTTCTCTAAACACAAAGTCAATAAAGACTTTAAACCACCAGCAAAAATGGAAGCCTCAGACATTTTCTGTGTCCCATCTACAACTCCATCCTTAAACCTAAAACGAAGAGAACAATCGGGGTAGCCAGATTAGGGCTAGAGGTGTTAAAACACTCATTATGGGCCTGAATGATTATGCTAATATGACCCCACACTTTGTACAGATGAATAGTCCTAGCTACTAAACTAAACTGTAAATAAGTAGGGTGTAGGTTTTAGAGTAGTTTTAGTGTATTTAGCTCCTTCCTTAGGCAGTGTCCACCAGCATTCAACCTAAATATTTGTTTGTCCAGTTGACAAATTGAATTTTTCCTTTGCCATGGATTCTACGTGGAAGACTGAGGGATTCTACACACATGTAAACCACTGAACTATTTGAACCATGCGTCTGTTACAGGAGACTGTTCTTTGGAATGAATGAAATTGAAGTGAAAGTGCCTTCTGTTTTCAAGCTGCTCATCAAAGAGGTTACAAACATTTCTTGGGTCCTTTTGAGTTTGAATTTGTTTTGTAATAATGTCACGTAATTGTATTTTCATAGGTTCTCAACCCTTTCTACATCTTTCAACTCTTCAGTGTGATCCTGTGGAGTGCTGATGAGTATTACTACTATGCTATGGCCATTATGTTGATGTCGGTCATATCCATAGCTACCTCTCTGTACACCATCAAAAAGGTTTGTTAGTATTGGACTTTGGAATGATTTTCATATTTTTCTACGTGTTACAGTTGTAATTGACTTTTTTACTGTTTAGCAATATGTCATGCTACATGATATGGTGGCAGCTCACAGTATTGTCCGTGTATCTGTTTGCCGAGCCAACAATGGTAAGTATTTTTAAGACCACTAGAAATATTACATGTTATATTTTTTGGTAATTTGTAATTTTTGCACTTTTTTCCGGTACTAGATATTGACGAGATTTTATCTACTGACCTTGTGCCTGGTGATGTGATGGTCATCCCCAGTAATGGGACTATCATGCCTTGTGATGCTGTGCTAATCAGCGGCACCTGCATTGTCAATGAAAGCATGCTCACAGGTAAGAACATATTGGCTTAAATCAGACCAATGATGGTATACTAATCTCACTGTTAATGTAATTATTATTATTGTTATTAGGTGAAAGTGTTCCAGTGACTAAGACCAACCTTCCAAATCCATTGCCTGGGGACAGGAGGGACTCTGATGGTGCCTACAACACAGAGGAGCACAAGAGACACACTCTCTTCTGTGGCACCAACGTCATCCAGACGCGTTTCTACACAGGTGAACTGGTGAAGGCACTGGTGGTTCGTACAGGTTAGTAGGATTGCCAAGAAAATGGATACTCAAATTATCATTAGTCCTTAAACTAGTAATGATAATTGTATAAAAACATTGTGTTTCATTATAATGTTTTCCTTGGCCAACAATATCGCCCAATGTCTGTAAAAGTTTATGTTGTGCGCTTTCAGAATATTTGCAGCTTATGTTTACATATTTTTCAGGTTTCAGCACAGCAAAAGGCCAACTTGTGCGTTCCATCCTTTACCCAAAACCCACTGACTTCAAGTTGTATCGAGATGCCTACCTCTTCCTCTTGTGTCTAGTTGGTGTGGCAGGAATTGGTTTTATCTACTCCATTGTCCTCAGCGTCATGAATGAGGTTATTTAAATATTATAATTTTGATTTTTTTTTTTAAACCACATTAAAAACATAATCAAGCACGATTCTAAGGACTAGCTGAATCATGGATAGAGGCGTCTGTTCCCTAGGTTCCTGCTGGTACCATAGTTATTGAGTCCTTGGACATCATCACCATTACTGTGCCACCTGCACTCCCAGCTGCTATGACAGCGGGCATTGTGTATGCTCAGAGGCGTCTTAAACAGATTGGAATATTCTGCATTAGTCCACAGAGAATAAATATCTGTGGGCAGATCAATCTGGTCTGCTTTGACAAGGTGAGCTTTACAGCATTGTTTTATTTGTTGTGCATCTTTATTGAAATTCAGTTTCTGCTTTTTATGTATTTCTATGTACTATTTTTATGTAAATCATTTGTTTTTACAGACAGGAACTCTTACAGAGGACGGTTTAGATCTCTGGGGAGTTCAGAGAGCAGAGAATGGCAGGTATGCTAGTCTGCCTACTACTCTGTGTTATGCTGTTCTGCTTCCTGTTAGAACTGGATTTGTATTTATCTGTCTGTAACATATTTGTGTTTGACGATTTTCTAGTTTTCACCTCTCAGAGGAATCCGCTTATAAGGAGAGTCTTGTAAAGTCTCAGTTTGTGGCCTGCATGGCCACCTGCCATTCGCTAACCAAAATAGACGGCCAGCTGTCAGGGGACCCACTAGACCTCAAAATGTTTGAGGCTACAGGCTGGGTAAGCCAACACATGTGTTCATCATGACAACAACTAAGTGTCTCCAACATCTTGCTAGTAGTTCTGTCAAACAATATGTAACAAACTTCCTATGCTTTTTTGGATCCAGATTCTCGAAGAGGCCACTGAGGAAGAAACATCTCTCCACAACCGGATAATGCCCACAGTAGTCCGTCCTCCAAAACAACTGTTGCCCCAAGACGTCGCTATATCAGCTGAGCAAGACATGGTACACTGAGTATGAGATCATTTTGAGATTTCAATAAGGAAGCCACAGAGTCTGACCGGTCATTTTGTTTGTTTTTAGGAACTTTATGAGCTTTCTGTAAGTTTTCTTTTGACACAATGACATCTTGTCACATTTTGCAATTTTTAAATCTTTGAAAAGGTCATAAACAATGATCAATGTTTAGGTTTTTTTTGTATTTTGTATGTTTACAGTCTGCCTATGAGATTGGTATTGTGCGTCAGTTTCCCTTTTCATCAGCCCTGCAGAGAATGAGTGTAGTTGCCCGTTTATTGGGTGAGAAGCGAATGGATGCCTACATGAAAGGCGCTCCAGAGGTGGTGGCTAGTCTTTGCAAAAAAGATACAGGTAACTTGTCTTCTGTATGATGAATTTTTATACAAAATCACTTTTTAATCTCCTGTTTATTATTCTTTTTAGTACCAGCAAATTTTGCAGACATTTTGGAGGGCTACACTAAAGAAGGGTTCAGGGTCATCGCTTTGGCTCATCGTCGTCTTGAATCAAAACTTTCCTGGCACAAGGTCCAAAATATCAACAGGTAATTTCCATCGTATGTAGTTTTTCTAAACATTTATAAATTTATATATCAGCAAATATTGTTTTTTTCTGTCTGAATCAGATTTGGGCTATACCATTTCCTGACTTTTTTTTTATATATATCTTTTTTGCATTTTAGGGATCATATTGAGAAAAATATGGAGTTTCTTGGTTTAATCATCATGCAAAACAAACTTAAGGCCGAAACCCCAGGTGTGCTGAAAGACCTCCATCAAGCCCATATTCGCACAGTTATGGTGACAGGTGAGGACTTTTTATAGTGACCCTAATTTACATGTGGTTTCCTTCATGAGTGAACGGAAAGTTTCCACTCCACCACTGTTAGTCTAAAATCTATTAATGAATATTGATGATATGATATGATTAGTGTGATCTCACCTATCAACTAAATTGATAGAGTTGATTGAATTGTTTCTGACTTTTGTGGACATGTAATGGTGTATATGATGTGCATATATATGATGATTTTTAAATGAAACTTCAGGTGACAACATGCTGACGGCCATCTCAGTAGCCAGGGACTGTGGGATGATTCCACCTCAGGACACGGTCATCATTGCAGATGCTCTTCCTCCCCATGACGGACAGTCCGCCAGAATCAACTGGAGATATGCTGACAAACCAAGCAAAACAACTCGACTAGAGGTGAGCCAAAAAGTATGTTGTAATTTGTACTGTATCTGGTGCAGTACAAGTAATACAATATAAACTTATAACATCTGCAGGAAATTAACATAAGTCTAGAGGATGTGTGCCACATAGATGAGCCCAAAACCCGAGAAATGTTCCACTTTGCTATGAATGGAAAGTCTTTTGCTGTCATAGCAGAACACTTTCCTGACATGCTTCAAAAGGTAGGAAGTTACCTTTCAAGAAGACGAGATCGACACAAACTGCTAAAACCTTTTGTACAATTAAATATTTTCTGTCTTCTAGTTGGTCTTGCATGGAACAGTATTTGCCAGAATGGCACCAGACCAGAAAACTCAACTCATTGAGACACTGCAAGGTGTAGAGTAAGTATATTTCTGTTATTTATTAACATGTTACCATATACAGTAATGGTATATTACTATTTGTGAAGAAGAACATGGCTAATTGGCTGTTACTTTGTTGCAGTTATTACGTTGGTATGTGTGGAGATGGAGCCAATGACTGTGGGGTATGCATTTTCTTTTAAGATTGCATATCATGATAGCATGTTGCGGTATGTAATGTTGCAGACTGTTCTTTTTTTTTATGGTGCAGGCTCTGAAGAGGGCACATGGAGGCATTTCTTTGTCAGAACTTGAAGCTTCAGTAGCCTCCCCCTTCACCTCCAGAACACCAAACATTTCCTGTGTCCCCAGCCTCATCAGGTGTGTGCCAGTTTGTGTTAGATGGGAAAGGAGATAGTAAATGTAATAATCAAACTTTATTGTTTTTTTGACTGTATTGGACATTGATTTTGTGATACTGACCATAAACATTTCATTTGTTAGGGAAGGACGTGCTGCTCTTATAACCTCATTTTGTGTGTTTAAGTTTATGGCCCTCTACAGCATCATTCAATACATTAGTGTCACTCTTCTCTACTCCGTAAGGACTCCTGTGATCTTTTTAATGTTAACCTTACCAAGCAAATGTTTAACTTGCAAAATACATTCTAGATTCTCAGTAACCTCGGGGACTTTCAATTCCTCTTCATTGACATCGCCATCATCCTCATCATTGTTTTTACCAGTGAGTACAGAAGATTTTGATTATCATAGTCTCTGATACTACTGAAAGCTTTTTTAAACTATGTTGTTTTCCTTTGTGTTAGTGAGCTTGAACCCAGCCTGGAAAGACTTGGTTTCTCGGCGTCCTCCTTCAGGTTTGATCTCTGCGCCTCTACTCTTTTCTGTGCTCACTCAGATCATCATTTGCCTGGGCTTCCAAATCATCACATTCCTCTGGGTCAAAGAGCAGCCCTGGTACTCTGTGTGGACTCAGTCATCAGAGTAAGGGATTTTGTAATCTGATTTGTCCAGTGGGTCTTAAAACAATCAGTTAATATCTCTCCTTCCTTCACCCAGTGCCTGCAACAAGTCAAGCAATTTATCGGACCTCAATCATACTGAATTTGATGAACATAATATAAAGAATTACGAGAACACCAGCGTTTTTTATGTTTCATCCTTCCAATATCTCATTGTTGCGATTGTCTTCTCAAAGGGCAAACCATTTAGACAACCAAGCTACAAGAATTGTATGACATATTTCAATCAGTGGGTTATACATAAAAATGTATTATCTCTTTTAAAGTTATTGTTTTCTTTTTTATCCCATAGGGCCTTTTGTGGCATCCACGTTGATCTTATATTTTTTCTTATTGTTCATCATGTTTTACCCAACTGAGGCAATTGATGAGTTTCTTGAGGTAAGTGTAATCCAATGTATTTTGATTTAATTCTCACTAATGCTGCAGTCTTTTCTTTGTTCTTCTCGTGTACAGCTTGTCTGTGTCCCTTTTGACTGGAGAGTGAAGCTTTTACTTGTCATTTTAGCAAATGCAGTTGTTTCTGTCTTGATAGAGGTAAGTTTCACTCCTAATACAAAGTATCACCAAAACATTTTTTCATGTGCAGTTTTTGTTTTCTCATGCAGTGTTCTCATCTTTTACTATCACAACTGACAATTGGAACAGTCTAATGAAAGAAATATTTTATAAATAATAATTGCAATAATATGGTTTGTTGTTTAAGACCACATCTTTTATCAACCTTTTAATTCATAATTTGTTGATGTTGTGACACTCATCGGAGCCGTATCACTTTCTTCCAATCAGATGTTTGCACTTGCACAAATGCTAATAGCTATGCCATCCATCCATCCATTTTCTTCCGCTTATCTGGGGCCGGGTCACGGGGGCAGCAGTCTAAGCAGGGACTCCCAGACTTCTTTCACCCTAGACACGTCCTCCAGCTCTTCCGGTGGGACCCCGAGGCGTTCCCAGGCCAGCCGAGAGACATAATCCCTCCAGCGTGTCTTGGATCTTCCCCTGGGCCTCCTCCCGGTGGGACATGCCCGGAACACCTCTTGAGGGAGGCTCGCAGGAGTTATCTGGAACAGATGCCCGAGCCACCTCAACTGGCTCCTCTCGACGTGGAGGAGCAGCGGCTCTACTCCGAGCTCCTCCCGTGTGACTGAGCTCCTCACCCTATCTCTAAGGGAGCGCCCAGCCACCCTGCGAAGGAAACTCATTTCGAGCGCTTGTATCCGCGATCTTGTCCTTTCTGTCATTACCCGGAGCTCATGACAGTAGGCGAGAGTAGGAACAAAGACTGACCGGTAAATAGAGAGCTTCGCCTTTCGGCTCAGCTCCCTCTTCACCACAACGGTCCGATACAACGACCGCATCACTGCAGATGCTGCACCGATCCGCCTGTCAATCTCACGTTCCATCCTCCCCTCACTCGTGAGCAAGACCCCAAGATACTTGAACTCTTCCACTTGAGGCAGGGACTCTCCACCCACCCGGAGAGGACAAGCCACCTTTTTCCGGTCGAGAACCATGGAGCTGATCCTCATCCCAGCCGCTTCACACTCAGCTGCAAACCGCCGCAGTGCATATTGCAGGTCCTGGTTCGATGAAGCCAACAGGACAACATCATCTGCAAACAGCAGAGATGAAATCCTGTGGTCCCCAAACCGGACCCCCTCCGGCCCCTGACTGCGCCTAGAAATTCTTTCCATAAATACAATGAACAGAACCGGTGACAAAGGGCAGCCGTGACGGAGTCCAACATGCACCGGGAGTAGGTCTGACTTAGTGCCGGCACTGCAAACACAGCTCCTGCTCCGGTCATACATGGACCGGACAGCCCTTAGCGAAGGGCCCCGGACCACATACTCCCAGAACACCCCCCACAGGACACCGCGAGGGACACGGTCGAATGCCTTCTCCAGATCCACAAAGCACATGTGGACTGGTTGGGCAAACTCCCATGAACCCTCGAGCACCCTATGGAGAGTGTAGAGCTGGTCCAGTGATCAATGGCCAGGACGAAAACCACATTGGTCCTCCTGGATCTGAGGTTCGACTATGGGCCAGATTCTCCTCTCCAGTACCCTGGCATAGACCTTACGAAGGCTGAGAAATGTGATTCCCCTGTAATTGAAACACACCTTCTGGTCCCCCTTTTTATACAGAGGGGCCACCACCCCAGTTGCCAGTCCAGAGGTACTGTCCCCGACTGCCACACGATGTTGAAGAGGCGTGTCAGCCAAGACAGTCCCATAACATCTAGAGACTTAAGGTACTCGGGACGGATCTCATCTACCCCCGGAGCCTTGCCACGACGGAGCTTGCCAACCACCTCAGTGACTTCAGCCAGGGTAATGGATGAGTCCACCTCCGAGTCCCCAGTCTCGGCTTCCTCCTCGGAAGACGAAGAAGGTGGGATTGAGGAGATCCTTAAAGTACTCCTTCTACTGCCGGACAACGTCCTCAGTCGAGGTCAACAGCTCTACCCCCGCACTGTACACAGTGTTGATGAAGAACTGCTTCCCCCTCCTGAGGCGCCGGACAGTTTGCCAGAATCGCTTTGAGGCCGTCCGATAGTCCTCCTCCATGACCTCCCCGAACTCCTCTCAGCTCCGGGTTTTTGCCTCCGCGACCGCACGGGCTGCTTCAGGAGTCCCACGAGCCAACAAGGCCCGATCGGACTCCTCCTCCAGCTTGACAGCATCCCTTACTTCCGGTGTCCACCACCGGGTTCGGGCATTATTGCCGCAACAGGCACCACAGACCTTACGCCCCCAGCTCCAAGCAGCTGCATTGACAATAGAGGCCGATAACGAAGCCCACTCGGACTCTATGTCCCCAGCCTCCATCTGAATCCGGGAGAAGTCCTCCCGGAGGTGTGAGTTGAAAGTCCCTCTGACAGAGTGCTCCGCCAGACATTCCCAACAGACCCTCACTACACGCTTGGGCCTACCAGGTCTTTCCGGTTTCCCTCTCAAGGAGTTGGGTTCCAGAGCCCAAACTGTGCGTGGAGGTGAGGCCGACTATATCTAGTCGGTAGCGCTCAACCTCCCGCACAAGCTCAGGCTCCTTCCCCCCCAGCGAGGTGACATTTCATGTCCCCAGAGCTAGTCTCCATGTTTGGAGATCTGGTCGTCGAGGTCCCCGCCTTGGACCGCCGCACAGATCTCCTTGCACCGGCCCCATATGGATCCTCCCGCAGGTGTTGGGCCCACGGAAGGGCGGCCTCACGTCACTCCTTCGGGCTGTGCTCGGCCGGGCCCCGTGGGGAAGGCCCGGCCACCAGGTGCTCGCCGTCAAGCACCCACCCCGGGCCTCGCTCCAGGGTGGGGCCCCGGTGACGCCAATCCGGGCGTATCTGGCCTTGCTGGTACACTCGTCATACAGGGCTTCTGATCTGAACCGTTCTTCGTCTGACCCGTCCCCCCGGACCTGTTTGCCTTGGGTGACCCTACCAGGGGCATTAAGCCCCCGACAACATAGCTCCCGGGATCATTCGGGTACTCAAACCCCTCCACCACGATAAGGTGACGGTTCAAGGAGGGGCTAATAGCTATTCTAAAAGAAAACGCCACCCGATGCTGTGCACTGACTAACTTTCACAAAATTGCTGAAATGAAAAATCAAATGTCAATGATCACATTGTATATATCAAAATCTACAAGCCTTTCATTCACTAAAATTGTCTTACTAATTCACATAAGAATTCAGTTTTGTTCATACAAAACCTGAGTAAAGTGAACTTCTGCTAATAATGAATGAAAACCTGTGCAAACTTTGGCCTCAGCAAAGCTGTTTCATAATCCAATACCAGAAAATGTGTAATCATAATAGCCTCTCTGTAATTCTTTGCCCTGCACACTACGCTATTTCATAGAGCTTCATCCTTGACATCGTCTTATGGAAGCTTGTGTTCAGCCGAGACAAACAGGGCAGCTTTGGCGTCACTCCTGCCGCCCCGACACCACAGGTTGGGAAAATCTGACAATTTTCTTTTCTAGCCTCTTTATTTATTTTGTGGTGTTATCCCTTTGTCACTGCCTCCTAACAGACTACTGCACTTTTCAATGTAACATCTAACTTCTCAAACCTGCTGCTTGTGCAACGATCTAATCTCTTGTGACTCATTGATGGCTGTTCTTAAAAGCTGCTTTTAAAAGCTGCATATTTAAATTATAATTAATAGAATAATGAAAATATATATCTATATATATATATATCTATATATATATTAGTGTTAGTCATGTTTAAAATAGCAACTTTTTAGTTTCTTTACTAGATAGCATTAACCCAATGCATATATTTTTCAATGTGTATTTTTTTAATCTTCCAAGATTTTCAAATTTAGAAATGATATATTCAATTGCATAGACTTCCTAAATTATTTGTTGTATTGGTAAAAAAATATTTACAATCTAATAATTATGTTCATTTTCTTTATTTTGACTCCATGAGCTTGTTTTTGAGATGTTAATAGCTATCCTCAGATTTGTTTTTGCAATTCATGTTCAAGTTCACTGAGAAAACAAAGGTTGTTATGCTGGTATTTAAATAGCTTAAAGTGTATACCTTTGCATTAGTAATTCTGTATCATACCACTACCAACATAAGGCTAATCCTTATGTTCCAAAAGGCTATTAGAGTGAGATCATGAATGTTCCTCTTCTGTTTTTTTTTCTATTTTCTTTTTTATGAATGATCTTTTCAGGGTTCATTTGACCTGCGGGCTTACAAGTGTTTGGTTGAACTCTGCTGCCCTCACAAGATGATACCCAAGGCCCGGTACATGCACCTCGCCCAAGAGCTGAGTGTGGACCCTGACTGGCCTCCCAAGCCCACCACCACCACTGAAGCCAAGACTGGTCCAGAAAATGGCTCCAGCTATCAGATTGGTATAAACTTGTGACGGTTAATCATATTTACCCCCCTCGCTAAGGCATACTGTAAAAAGGCTCCTTGCCTTGTTGCTTTAAGATATTGCTGGTCCTGATATTGTCCAAAACAGAAACCTTCAAACTAAAGCCAAACTGCATTTCATTAAAATAACTGCCTGTAAAACCTCATATTTGGCATAGGAAAGTGTTAAATAGCAAGTATTATTTTATAAACTCTACATCAATATTAGGAGTGGAAATTTCATGTGATCGCACAAACATGAACATGTATTTAATTTTATATTTAATGTTAAACACCCCACTGGAAGACCCTGTCTGAAAACCATAATGGCCAGTTAAAGGGAGAAATTGTAATGCAAGTAACAATGTTGCATATGTATTGGAACAGCTAATGTGTCTGTCCTAAATAAACAGGTTAAAAGCAGCAGGGAGTGACATATGTTGGGATTTCTACTTCTACTAAATCAATAGACCTCTTACTTCTATGTAATGACTTTATTGAAAAATCTTTCAAACCTGCATTACCGTGACTCAGTAACTCTTCAATCTAATGATCACTGTATTGTTAGTGAAAAGGCTGCTTTCACTGATCATTTTGCCTTTGTAATAATTACTCAAAGGGCATGACACAAAATGGATGTAAGCATATGTCTAAATTATATACTCTGTTTAGGCAGATTAGCCTCTGTTAGATAATTAGCACAAATGCTAGCTACAATAGTAGATAGATTAGTTTAAATTTTTTACCAAATAATTTGAGAAATTTAGCAAAATATTTTATAGCCTTTTTATAAATTTATTGTTTTACATACATAAGCCATGCACTGTGACAGCAGCAGCAAAATAGTATGTAGAATAATATTGGACAATATATAACGTTATTTTGTTGGTAAAAAATAAAATGGAGCGTCAGAGCATGCACCTGCTTGTGGACATTAGTGTGCATGATAGTATTTTCATTCAAGTGTCCTAAATCTCCATCATGTCAGCAGAGGCTATACTGTCAATGCCATAATTTTTGCAAGAAATTTCTTCCCATGGAAGAATAAATGGATATGTTATTAATTAAGCATGTCAATATGTTTTTCAATGACTAGCTGGTCTAGGCACTATAAAACATTCATATAAGTGTACCTGTTAACTTTATTAATTGGTTATTTTTCCAAAAGTGCTTTTACATTATCTGCAACTTACAGTTACATAGTGGCTGCTCTAACATGTAACAGTGAATCTGTCATTGTCTTTGTAAAATGTTTTAGTTTTGACAATTCAAATGAATTTGAATCCAGGGCTTATTACTACAATTTAGCCTGCTTTTCATATTAGTGATTTTCAGTCTCTATCAACTTAACCATTATTGAATTTCTGCTTAGGAGTTGGAGTGACATAAATCGACCATTTTTGTTTTTGTGATAACCAAGAATGGCATTGGGCAATGACATTTGCGTGACCCGGAAATGTTATACATTAAAAAAAAAGAAGAAGAAGAAGAAAAATGGTATAAATGTATTTTCTTTCCGAAGACTTGACGTTTAATGTTAACAACAACAACAAGGAAAAAAATGATTGTATGAAATATTATAGAAACAGAGGTTGATAATAAATAGTTGGTTTCTATCTGTAAATATAAAATTAACATATCTACTGTGTTAAGGACTATACAAAATGTATTATTTTGAATGACAAAGGGCTGGCTGAATTTTACTTTTGGTACTGTTTCTGGTTTCTTGGCTGATGCTATACTGTGTATTTTCAGTTTGAAATTGTCATTTTTTTTACACTGGGCATTAATGATACACCAATTCAGGTTTGAGAGCAAAAACTAGCAAACTGCAAATACAAGTATGAGCTGCATCGATGGTGTAAATGACAGTGGTTAATGATTTGAAACATGAAGGGACTGTATGCCTCTAGCACCTTTTATTTAACACAGAGTAACATAAACTAGTGTGTACATAAATAATTGGGTCTGTGTTTATCCATTGTATTCATGCCAAACAAGAATGTAATTGTCAAATGATTGTTGCATTCTTTTGTTTGTAAGTTGACTAAACAATATTGCTGCTAAAGTTCTCTGCTTTTAATCTGCTGTAAAGGTTTTCACCGCCTCCTTAGTATTTAAAAAAAGGAAAATCAAAGCAATGGTACAGTGTAGTTTAAAGAGCTGCTGGGCTTGTATGTAGTGTCATAGAACAAGGTTTCTCACACTCTTGAAAGGCATTTAGTCTGACTTTGACATAATATGGAGCTTTATGTAGTTTCCTCAGGGGAAAGATTAGTGACTTTTACAAAATCAAAGACGTAAATTAACAAGGCAATCTAATAAATTCTCAAAATGGTTAAGAACAATTCTTATAGTGCTTCTACTCTTCTCAACACCTCGTACCAATATTTTATTGGGAAATGTGTACATTTATGACAAATTTTGTACTTTTTAATTTATTTTGTATTTGTTTTTCCCTCATTTTCTTCCTAAAAGTTGTATTTTAGATTGATCTCAATCTCATGATTTTCAATAAATGTTCTTTTAAAATAACAATATACTTTGTGTTTTAATCAGGACAATTTAATGATCAAAACACTTGACACTTAAAGGTAAATCGGCAAAGTAGATAATTAAATTGAAAGACAACCCCTAATGAGCTGCATTAATGGTCCCTATGTAATATACAGTTTATTTAATTCTATATGAAGTGTATATTGGATTAGTTTAGTTTTTTCTTGGTTTTCACATATAAGATTATGGTTGATGGTGATGATGAAGACACCTCATTTTCCAAAGAATGGGGGATCCCTAGTGGCGGACAACATTAGTGCACAATAATCAGCTTTATGTTGCAAACAGTTTTTGGATGGTGCGGAAAATGGTACTAATGACCGATCCCCATGCTCCCGTGACCTGAATTTTGATAGTCTGAGGTCCAAATTGGCATTTCCTTTTTATTCTCAGGACGACTGTTTTATATATCTATAGTGCATACATCAAACTGTGTTTATAGATTTCCAACATAAATTATAATAGTCAATAATATAAATGTATATAAAACAACCACCTGTATAACCCATGGACTGTGTACAGTCTATGGCACAGGTGTCAAACATGCGGCCCGGGGGCCAGATCCGGCCCTCCAAGACCTTTAATCTGGCCCTCGGCTGATTTTCTACTAAAATATTTTAATTTTATTTTTTATTAAAATATTGTTAACTTTCTGCGGTGCTGAGCATAGCAGCATCTCCAGCGTCTCTGTGCGTGGCCCCTCCCACCAGAGCAGCAGAAATGAAGACTTGTCTCTTTCCAAACACTCTTAAAGGACGATCATTTTGACTGTTGACTGTGACACCCTCATCAGCAAAATGTCCAAAATGAGAAAAGTGGACGTCGCGTGCAGGATTTACCGTGAAAAATTGACTTATTCCTATTTATACAAGTTAATGTTAAAGAAGTTCATATTAAAACATTGTGTTGAAATTGTATTTTTCTTTAAGTTTCAGGTTGTTCATAATATATTCATAATAATATTTTGTAAAAGAAAGAGTTCATCAATTTAAAAAAAGATTTCTGTAATAGATTTGTGTTTCTCTGCACAAATATTTGAATTTATTGTTATTTTTGGGGTTTATGAGACATGAGTTTTCTGATCCGGCCCCTTTGGGATCAAAGTAGGTTGGATACGGCCCCCAGACCAAAATGAGTTTGACACCCCTGGTCTATGGTATAATCACAGCGTAAGTAGGAACCATTGTACAATACTATTTTTATCCGTACTCATATTGGAATGGGACCGGGTTACAGGAAGTGCAATAGCTGTGTCCTTGCTAGATAACTGGCTAGTTTGCTGCCTCAACAGGCAAATGTGAACGAATTGGAAAGATGATTTGAACTATATCTAAATAGAGTTGAACAACATTTGCATTAAGTCGCATTAAGTTGGATAACTGCGACATGTTTCGTGTCGGAAGTAAAGCTGCATGGTAAGTGATTAGGCACTACAAACGTGAGGTGCATTGAGTTGACTTCACAGTGGTCATTTTGACAGGTGAAAACAGTAATGCTGTGTTTCTACCTCTCTAATGGCTTTAGATGGCTTCTGTTCAGCCTTACCCTAATACGAATCCAAACGTTACCAATAGAGCAGCATCTCATCTCTTGTTTTAGCTTGCTAATTGTTTATATGCGATTTAGCTTAGCTTATGTCCACGATGCGTCAACATCATGGATCTATTATATGCATTTCTAGATTGTATTAAGCCCCTAAGATCTACTACACTGAATGTTGTCTATAGGTGTCGTATTATTGAATAATTATTACATTTCAGTAATTTTTGTGGAAAAACACCAATAAACCTACTTAGCTAGGTATTTACATGTATTAAATGCACTAGAGTAGCTAATTGCATATATCTTTTAGCATATTTTGGACTGTTATCACGAAAGCTGTGTAATTTTGACTTTATTTTCTAGCCTGGCCTGCAGGAACCTGGTCTCCACAAATATGGGGGTGAGATTTCGTGTCCCACTGCAGAAGTTGCACCCTCTGTCTCGGGCTATCCATCACCGCTATTCGGGAAATACAAACCCTCAGCGCGCACCCCATCGCACAGCAGCCCGTTACTTTACCTCCATGTCGAGGCTCCCAATGCGACAACCCAAGCCCTCTCCAGGATCCGGGGGGCGCAACTATCAGCAGCAGCGAGGCTTTTGGGTGGCTCGCCTGGCAGCAAGGTTGCTCAAGCTCCGATATATTCTTCTTGGAACAGCCGTGGGAGGAGGCTACACTGCCAAAAAGGTTAGATTTTTTTTTTTTTTTCCATTATGGAACCAATAATTACAGTTAGCTGTGGTGCATAGGTTTTGAGGTGTCAAGTAATTTATGTGGTATGATTTGTGACAAAAAAGAAGTGGAATTCAGTGCAATCATTTATATCATTATACCATTTGTATTAAATAAATTGGTTGTAACAATTACTAGGAAAGCATTTTATAAATTTAAGTCATATATATTTCTGTTTATTTCTATTGTAGTATTCGAACATGCTTGTATTATAGTGTATTTGTCACACATTGCATAGCACTGACTACATATTTGACAATGATAATTATTGCAGATTGAGGTGAAGTTAACTTAAACTTATTATTATAGTAGAGTATGTAGTATGTAGAGGTGGAGTATGAGAACAGTGGAAATAGGTGTTAAACTTAGGTTTGCTTAAGTGATTATGACAAAGACTAAAAAGGAGCTAATATAAATATTATATTCTTTTACCTAGACCTATGAAGAATGGAAGGACATGTTTCCTGACCTTAGTGAATACAATTGGGTTATTCCGGATTTTGTCTGGGAACTAAGTGAACAAATAGATCTTGGTAAGTTCTCAAACTACTCACAGATAGCAAAGTGTTCAACATGAATGTATTTTAGTTGAGTATATTTTCTTTTTGCAGATAAAATTGCCAAAGCTCTACCAGAGATGGAAGAAATAGCTAAATTGCTACCTGATTTTGACAAAATAGGAGAAAACTTCACTTTTCTGAAAAGCCTTCTGTCTTCTGGTGAGTTAAAGGTTGTATGGAGGATTTTTTTTTATTTCAAATTGTCATTGAAAGTTTAAAATACTATTACAGAGACACAGCAGCCTTGTAATTATGATGACCGAAAAAAAAAGAAAGAATGAAAATGTATCAGTTGTGGACGCAGTGAGGCCAGATAAACATCAGCTAATAGAAAACGAGGCTCCCTCTTTTTCCATTGGCTGTTAGGTTGTCAATCAAACTCCCTAGTGTAACTGAGTCGTCGGCGCTCGGGGATTATGTGGTTTATGCGGCGGTTCTTAGAGGCTTTTTCAAACTGTAGCTTCCTCGCAATTCACACAAAGTTTGTTGCAATGGCGGACGAGAATCCACGACCAGTTCGCAGCAAAAGAAAGTCCGAAGGGTCTAAAAACTGACGCGTCGGTCGCTAAAATACTTCAGTAATTCTGAACATGCACTGGATGTAAACAAATGTGATTTCTAGAGACAACATTTGAAAAACGATGGTCGCTGTATTTCACTTCCCTTAAAAATCCTCTATACAACCTTTAAGTATTTTTACTGGGACATGTTAGTGCTTTTGCAGGTACTAGATTTGAAGCATATTACTGCACATTCAATACACAACTATTATCAAAAAATCAAATCTGAAAATGTGGTGGAACATCTGCAGTATGTTTATATTGTGCTATGAAAGACACAATGTGCAATAATATCACGCATGCAAGCTACTCTCTTGACAACTGCAACCACTTCTCAAACAGTGAGTGCTTTGGATTGTGTATGCCTATTGCGATGAGCGATTTCTTCATACACATTTGGCCATGAAACTGCACATTGCTTAATCCATTCTGATAGTGCTAAAATCATCTGCAGAGCTTTCATACATCATTAAGTTATGTCCCCTCTTTTGTCACCATCCCTATGCTTCTGTCTTTTATGATTTTTTTTTTATCTTGTGTTCTTCCTTCCTCCCCCCTGCCCTCTTCTCCTCATGCTCCACATTTCACAGGTGTGAATTTGGGTAGTCAAGTCAAAGGAGCTTCTGGTCTGCATCTGTTGTTAGGTGTGTAACCCCTGCTCAGCTCCTCTCTCTCCTTTTTAACCACTGTCCAATCACAATTTCAGTCAACTGTTGATTCGAGTTATTGGAAATGTGCTTTGGCTTGAATCACTCTGTTTGAAAATTTGCTTTGAATGATATTGAGAAAAACTCTTCAAGGCTAAATAAAAGCATGTGCAGGATATGTCAAACAAATACAGCAATGGGCTGTGTAAAATATTTTCTCTCAACGTGGCTTCTTTCATTCCTAATGTGTTTTCTGCCTCCTTTGACTTCTACCCTTTTTCTATCCTGGCATTTAAAAATCGCCTTTTTAGATCATGTTTTTAGAGTACTGTGCTGTGGTGAAGCCAACCTTGAGCCTAACCCAGTATTTTGACTCACCCAGTCTGGCGCTGTGCTTTTATTTAATCCATAATACAACAAAGGAGTGTTTCATAGCTGTTACAAGACATGCATTTTCAATAATGAAGCATACATTTCATGTGCTTAATTAAACAAATGAATTAAAAACATTGTTCAGCTATAGACAACAACTATAACAACTGTAGACACATACAAATTATTAACAATTCTATTTATTGTTATTTTGCTTTTCTGTCTCTAGAAACTACAAGTGATCCGCAATTGAAAGCCACTGATACTCCAACTACTGTCATGCAAGAGTCTAGTGAGAAACAATACAAAAAGGTAAGTGTGTACAGTAGAACAGAGGATATTTTTGCCATTTATCACACAAAAGAGCAGAAATATCTATTCGAGAGCAGAAATATCTATTTGGAAAATTACTGTGCACATTTATTTTTTAATAAACTGTTCTTATGATTTTTATTATACATGATTTACTAATATTCTAATTTTGCAAATCTTCAAAGCTGGAGTTCTAATATATTAGCCACTTCTCTTAGTATTGAAATGAACTAGTTACATTTTATGCAAAGAAAAGGC